TGTTTTTTCTAGATATTAAAAAGACTTAGAAAAAAGTACCTCTAAACAAAGCAGACCATCACTTGTCTGCCAGTTCGTAGTACTGTAGTGGCTGATGTGTTGCTGTGAGCCTGGAGGCTATACCACCAGCATTTCAAATATCAGCAGGGTCACCCATGGTAGACAGGTTTCAGTGGGGCTCCCAGACTAAGACAGACTTCAAAGAAGGAAACAGCCATCAACTTCTCAAAGAAGTGGCCAGTGAAAACATTATGAATAGTGGTGAAACACTATCTAATATTTACTGGAAAACTTTATGAATAGCCCTGAAACACTGTTCAATACAGTGCCAGAGGATGAGCCCTTCAGGTCAGAAGGCACTCAAAATATGACTGGGAGTAGCTGCCTTTTCAAAGTAGAGTCAACCTTAATGATGAGGATGGAATAAAGCTTTCGGGATCTCCATTCGCTGATGTGGCCAAGAGTGAAAATGGGAAGAAGCAGCTGCAAATATCCATTAATAATTGGAACATGGAATGTATGACGTGTGAATGCAGGAAAATATGAAGTTGTCAAAAATGAAAAGGAATGCATAAAGATTGATATCCTAGGCATTGGCGAGCTGAAATGTACTGGTTTTGGCCATTCTGAATCAGACAACCATATGATCTACTAGACCAAGAATGACAAATTGAAGAGAAATGGCATTCAACATCACAAAAAATGTTTCAAGATCTACCCTGGAGTATAATGCTGTATAGGATAATATCCATACACCTATAAGGAAGAACAGTTAATACTACTGTTATTCAAAATTACACACCAACCCACTAAAGCCGAGAGGAAGTAATTAAAGATTTTTACCAACTTTTGCAGTCTGAAATTGACCAACATGCCATCAAGATGTATTGATTATTACTGGTGACAGGAATGGAAAAGTTAAAAACAAAAAAGAATTACCAGTAGTTGGAAAACACAGGCCTGGTGATAGAAATGATGCCAGAGATCACATGACAGACTTTTGTAAGATCAACAACTTAGTCATTGCTAATCCTTTTGAACAACATAATTGGAAGCTATACACATGGAATTCACCAGGTAGAATACAGAGGAATCAGATCAACTACATCTGTGGCAAGAAGTGATGGAGAAGCTCCTTATCTTGAGTCAAAACAAGGCCAGGAGCTAACTGCAGAACAGATCATCAACTGCTCATATGCAAGTTCAAGTTAAAGCTGAAGACAATTGCCAAAGGGGCAGGGAGGCCACATCTTCTGACCTCCTTTAACTGCATAAGAGGAAGACAGAATCACTATCAGTAGCCCAAGCCCATTACTGTGAGGCCAGACATGCTGCCTCCCTCCAGCCCTTTCACCAACCCTGACACCCACTGTTCCTCCCGCAGTACCCCCCATCTTTCTGCTGGGTTCGATAATTCGCCGCAGTGGCCACAAGAACTCACAGATTATGGGGTTTATTAGGGAAGGACAAGGCTACAATTCAAGTTCAGGAAAAATGCTCAGTCTCTCTTAGCCCGCTGTCTCTCAGCCAACAGTCTCTCTCAGTCTCTCTCCCAGTAGTGCGTGTCTCTTTCTCAACAGCACATGTCTCTTGGTTTCTCTTTCTCAGCAGCACGTGTCTCTCAGGAGCGTGTTTCTCTCAGCAGCACGTCCTTCTCAGCCAGCAGTCACAGAGACATCTGCCTCTAGAAGACTTCCTTTTGAGCTCGGCAGAGTGGCCAAACTAGCCAATCATAACATCAGAATTCTAAGCACCTGAGAGAGCGAATTTCCCAGAACACTGCTTTGTGCCACTCCCAACAGAAATACCCAAGGTGGATAACATTTACAATTAGGAGCTCCTCAGTTGCTCACAGCAAATTACACCACAAAGACTTATGGCTAGAAAAGTCATACCAGGGAATCAGATCAACTCCATCTGTGGCAAGAGGTGATGGAGAAGCTCCATATCTTCAGTCAAAACAAAGACAGGAGCTAACTGCAGAACAGATCATCAAATGCTCATTGTTGTTGTTGTTATGTGCCATCGAGTCGGCCCCGACTCATAGCGACCTCTCCTTGGGTTTCCGAGGCAGTATCACTACAGAAGTAGGACTGCCCAACCTTCCTTCCGAGGAGTGGCTGGTGGGTTTGAACCGCCAGCCGTCTGGTTAGCAGGCAAGTGTCTTAGCCACTATGCTACCAGAGCTCCCTCAAATGCTCATATGCAAGTTCAAGTTAAAGCTGAAGACAATTAAAACAAGTCCATGAGAGCATTGAACACTGATGACCAAAAAACAGATGAACTAACAGAGGGATGATATCAAGAACATCATACAAGAAAGCAAAGGATCATTAAAAATACAGAAAAGACCAAAATAGATGTCAGAAGGGACTCTAAAACTTGCTCTTAAAGGGAGAGTAGCTAAAGCAAAAGGAAGAAATGACAAAATTAAAGAGCTGAAAAGAGCACTTCAAAGAGCAGCCCAAGAAAACAAAGTCAATTATTATAATAAAATGTGCAAAGATCTGGAGTAAGAAAACCAAAAGAACAGAACACATTTCTCAAACTGAAAGAACTGAAGAAAAAATTTAAACCTGGAGTTGCAAAACTGAAAGATTCTATGGACAAAATATTGAATGATGCAGGAAAACATCAAAAGAAGATAGAAGGAATACACAGAGTCACTGTACCAAAAAGAATTGGTTGATGTTCACCTATTTCAGAAGGTGGCATATGACCAGAACCAATGGTACTGAAGGAAGAAGTCGAAGCTACACTGAAGGAATTGGTGAAAAACAAGGCTCCAGGAATTGATGGTATTACCATCGTGATATTTCAACAAACAGATCCTGTTCTGGAAGCACTTACTCAACTAAGCCAAGAAATGTGGAAGATAGCTACCTGGCCAACTGTCTAGAAGAGATCCATATTTGTACTCATTCCAAGGAAAGGTGATCCACCAGAATGTGGAAATTATCAAACAATATCATTACTATCACACACAAGTAAAATCTTGCTGAAGGCAATTCAAAAATGGTTGCAGCAGTATATTGGCAGAGAATTTCCAGAAATGCAAGCTGGACTCAGAAGAGGACGCGGAACGAGGGATATCATTGCTGATGTCAGATGGATCTTGGCTGAAAGCAGAAAGTACACAAAAGATGTTTACCTGTGTTTTATTGACTATGCAAAAGCATTCGACTGCGTGGATCATAAATTATGGATAACAATGAGAAGAATGGGAATTTTAGAACACTTAATTGTGCTCATGAGGAACCTGTACATAAACCAGGAGGCTGTCATTTGAACAGAACAAGGGGACACTGCATGGATTAAAATAAGGAAGGGAGTGAGTCAGGGTTGTATCCTTCATCATACTTATTCAATCTGTATGCTGAGCAAATAATCCGAGAAGCTGGACTATATGAAGAACACGGCATCAGGATTGGAGGAAGACTAGTTGCTTGCTTGTTTAAAGTGAGGATCACTTGAAACACTTACTAATAAAAATTAAAGACTTCAGTCTGCAGTATGGATTACACCTAAACATAAAGAAAACAAACATATTCACAACTGGATCAATAAGCAGCATCATGATTAATGGAGAAAAGACTGAAGTTGTCAAAGATTTCATATTACTTGATTCCACAATCAACATCAATGGAAGCAGCAGTCAAGACATCAGATGATGTATTCACTGGGCAAATCTGCTGCAAAAGATCTTGAAGACTAAGGTGCACCTAACTGAAGCCTTTCATATGCATATGAAAGCTGGACAATGAACAAGGAAAAGCGAAGAGTTGATGCTTTTGAGCCGTAGTGTTGGCGAAGAATACTGGAAATACCATGGATTGTAAGGAAAACTAACAAATGTGTGCTGGAAAAAGTGCAGCCGGAATGCTCCTTGGAAGCAGGAATAGTCAGACCTCGTCTCACCTAATGTGTTCAAGTTGTCAGAAGGGACCATTTCCTGGAGAAGGATATCATGCTTGGTAAAGTGGACGGTGAACGAGAAAGGGGAAGGTCAATGAAAAAGGGGAAGCCCCTTAACAAGATGGACTGTCACAGTGGCTGCAACAATGGGCTCAGGTATGTTGTTGTTGTTAAGTGGGCTCAGGTATAGCAAGGATTATTAGGCTGGCGCAGGACAGCATAGTGTTTTGTTATGTTATACAGACGGTTGCTATGAGTTGGAGCCACTTCAATGGCACCTAAAGACAACAACAAACAAAGCAGCTAGGTCTGGCTGTTAGTTTACTTACCCTGTTGTTTTACTGACATTTATTTCTACATTTTCTATATCAAAATATAATTTGAAGGGGTTTATAATAATAATAAAGAAAATATAAAAGAGTATCAAAAATCATTTTTAAAAAGGATTAAAAGACAGAAAGAATACAGGCTGAACATCCTGACCTAAACTAACTGAACAGTAAATTACTTAAATATGTGTTCATCAACAAAATTTTTAAGAATCCTTTAAAGCTTTATATGTGATAGTACATAATACAATTTGTAAAAATACCCATGTCATTAATCATATAAACAACAGAATCACTGCATACAATAAAATAAGCCTATATGAAAAATAAAATCTATTTCCACTAAATTTCATCTTATAATCCCCTGCTCTTTCTGATCTATGGATCTTTGCACACATCTAAATTCCTTTTGCCTCAGAGATCCTCTTATAAGTCACTGAGTCTTAATCTTCCAAGGGCTATATATATATTCTTCTCCCTCTAATATGTGAAGTGGTACCAGATTACTTTCTGAGATAGTATGTTTAAAGAACTCAAATGCCATCTTCTAAGTTCTCAAAAATTCAGATTTGCACATTAGTAAATTGAATTCTATGCTAAGATAAGCAAGTTAACATTTTCTGTAAATTAGTCTTATTTACATATGCTATTTTAAATTATTTTAACTTAAATCCGGATCATAAGCTTTCTTATCTAATTCATAATGCAGACAAATAAATGTAAACTCCTAGACTGTCTTTGAAAGATTTTTTCCACATAAGACTTTAGCTTATAAAACTTGTTGATAGCATCCTCCTTTTGCTCAATTATATCTATCAACTCTTGAACTCTGAATCTGCATAATTATTTTCTTTGGAAACAAACAAAAAAAAAATAACCCAGCAATGTTAGTAAATACATTTTGGGGTAGCTAGAATGCAAATAAGATGAACTTTTTTAATTCTATGAAATTTTAAGAGTAAGTAAAAATACTGGCAACACACCAGGCATAGGATGATCTGATTTTTTTTTTAAGTATGTATCATGGTCATAAATATATATAAAGAGAGCAATTTACTGTATTGGGTAAAAGAAAGCTGGAATCAGTTACATTGTGGGGATTGCAATCAACATCACAAAACAAAGTAAATATGAATTGTTGAATGGAAAACTGCTCTGCAAATTTTCACTCAAAACACAACAAAAAAGTAAAAAATAAAAAAAAAGAGAGAGAGAGAGAGAAAGCTGGAATCAGATACCCTTGGTTAATCCCAGCTTCTCCATTTTCTTGCAGTATAACCCTGGGTTGTTGTTGTTGTTATGTGCCATCAAGTCGGCCCCGACTCATAGCAACCCCTCCTTGGGTTTCCTAGGCAGTATCACTACGGAAGTAGATTGCTGATCTTCATCCATTTCAGGAAGTGGCATATGATCTAGAACCAATGGTAATGAAGGAAGAAGTCAAAACTGCAATGAAAGAACTGGCGAAGAACAAGGCTCCGGGAATTGATGGCATACCGATTGAGATATTTCAACAAACAGATGCCCCATTGGAGGCACTCACTCA